GTGACCTGCTCCCTCCTTTGTACACCAAGTGACCTGCTCCCTCCTTTGTACACCAAGTGACCTGCTCCCTCCTTTGTACACTCTATACATAAATCCATTGCAGAAGTTTGCTGTCTAAAAAGAGTTGCTAGTGTCTCACTGTATTGTCCGTCACTAACAGGATGCCAATTAGGGTAAGTGACATATAGTGTGTGATTATCTGTGTGTGTCCTGCGATGGACTGGTATCCCTTCCAGGGTGTGCCCTGGCTTGGGGCTTATGCTGCCTGGAATAGGCTCCAGAGCCCCACACCCTTGATGAGGAAAAGTGGTTGGAGAATGGATTGATTATTCATCCTACCTTCTCCTTGAGGGCGCCGACATAGAGATCACTGTTTGCAAAGTAGATAGAGGTGTTGGATTGGAATATCTTAATCCCAACACGTTCAGTAGCCTGGAAGAGAAACAGTTTCTTGGAGATAAGGAGACCATAGACAATTAGAACTAACATTTCAGTCCTGGTGGTTTCTGTATGTGTTATGTGTAGGATGCTAAGCATGCATCACGTAGCTTAATGATTAAAATGATTGGAAAGTCTTTACCTCCTCATACTCCTCCACATCACAGTATATGCCTGTGTCGGGGATCTCGCCAAGTATCGTTTTCTTTGGGCTGAGAAAAAACACACATTGAGGCCTGGTGAATAATGACACTAAATCACAGCTACAAGCCTGCGCGACTCAGTAACAGCAGCCTTCCCTCTCCTCCGGGTCCAGAAAACATCATAAATGATCAGATGTACTCTGATTATCTCCCTTGAGTGTTTCTGTTCGCATTTAGTTGTTGAATTTATGCAATGCATTCACTACCCTTCACAGCTCCCAGATCTAAGTGAGCCACATACCTTTGCGTTCTGTAGATGACGCTGAGGATGGCAAACCCGATGGCCACCAGCAGCCCGTAATCAAGCCCCAACAGAACCGACGCTACAAAGGCCACCATCCAGATTGCCTAGGAAAGTCACAGACTGTCTTACTAGCATTAGCACAGAAGCAGGGTCCCCGACACCAGGAGGTGTGAGGACACCACCATGCGGTAGGTAATTGAAAAACAATCGAATGTGCCTTCACACTGGACCAAAGTGCCACAAAATGCATTTTTTCAGTCTTTTAAATTGATCTCTGGTGTTTATGACTGTGGCTCTATAAGATTACAACAGCTGAAAATTTTCTTTCGCCTAGTGACACATTACTCAGGTGTTTGTGATGCTGATGCAAACAAACCTACTGTGCTGCTAGTCTTGTAAAAGTATAACACATACAATTATGTACAGTACATAATACCCAATAATGATAGTAAACAACTATGTTACTTTATGTATTTACTATAGTCCTTTTTATCGTTATTTTACAGTGTACTCTTTCAGCTTTGACACACGTAACTGTCATACTCCCACTTAGGCACATTAGTATAGTTATAATTTGTTTTTATTATAATTTTTTGTTTATTATTATTATTATTATTATTCATTTTTTATTTCTCATCAAAGCCAAACATGAGGTGGCACAGTGGTGCAGTGGTTAGCACTGTTGCCTAACAACTCAAGGAGCAGGGCATCTCTGTGTGTCATCACTGGATGCTCTCTGGGGACTCTGGTTTCCCCCTCACAGCCCAAAAACATGCCGAGGTTAACTGGAGTTCCCAAATCACCTGCAAGTGTATGGTGAGTGTGAGTGTATGCTATGTGATGGGCTAGCACGCCATCCTGAGTTGTTCCCTTCTTTGTGTTGATAGGCCGCAGACCCCCCCAAAACCCTGAATAGGGCAAGTGGTACCAGAAAATGGATGGATAGATCTGTCAACAATTTCACAATGCTAGTTTCATTGTGCAATTTTATCAAGGACTCCAAACATCGACCTGAGCAGCTTGTAAATGTGTGTGTGATGAATTTTCTGCTTTCAATTTTATTGACTTATGGATTAGATACTTGTTTAGCTGACCAAAAGTAGACGACAGGCAGTACAGAAGTCTCTTGTCAATGCCAGTATCACAGACTTCGTAATGTTGTGTACTACTGTCCTGCTAACCCGGGCTACGTATTACAAAAACAAAGTAGCAAACAACATTAGCAACTTACATAGTTGCAGGGCTCACAGGTTTCATGCACTGAGAGACACGCTTTTGCAGCCAGTTCACACGCTCACACGCCACACTGAGAAGTAAGGGATGACACCCACCAAGGTGTCCTGTTATATAGGATTAATGGACGAGGTGCAGGTGTATGGAGTGGAGTTTTCCTCTGAGTTCATAGCTGTCCTGATCGAGTTATACAGAGTTAATAGCCACCTACCAGCCAATCAGAAAATAGCATTTGCCGCATGTGATCCCATTGCAAGCACATTAATACATGGATGCGCACGCATACAGAGTGCAGACAAGGTGGGAGTGGCAGAGCATGATCCGATGAATGCGGTAGGCGGGGCTCTCAAGTGTCACACAATGACCGTGAGACACACACTCCGCCCCTAACAGATGTCATCTTACTTCAATCTTTGGATGAAAGTTGAGAGCCTTGCAGCTGGATCCATGCAACTGAACGGTGCCAACTATGTAAGCTGCAAATGGGGGCTTTTGGGAAAGGTACCCCAGAGTAGGATTTGTCTTCTTAGCTTACTAGTGATAAATGACCTTACATCAATGGCAGTCAGGGCATAAATTGTGCATGCATACCCCTCAAGAATGAAAATATATTTTGCAGGTGTGTTTGAGATTGACAGAATGTCAGTTCCATGTACCAAACTCTCCTTATTCAGCTCTGCTGAGGTAAAGTCATATTTCCATTCTCTGGCACCTTTAAATCTGAACACGGCATTTAATGCATGTATAGCCAATCAGGGCCATTTAATGCATGTATAGCCAATCAGATCATATTCTGAGCATCTTTGAGCTGTTTTATCTGCTTCATCAGTGTCACGTGTGCACAGGACGACATGGAGGTCTCCGGTGGGATCATGTTTTCCAGGACTCTCTGGAGACACCCACTGATTTTGTTCTAAACTAATTTGACAAAGGAAGATCTATTCTGTATTTCCATGGTTATTTATAAGAGGGGCAGGAGGGGCTTTGTTTTCCACACGGAAGTGTTTACATCCTTATTTGATATCACTAATGGACTTGGAGACAGATATCAGCATATTGCAGAGGCCTTAGGGGAAATGACTATGAAACACAGGGTTACAGCACATGGTGGGAACAGAAGCAGCTTTATGGGAGGTGAGACCCACCAGCTCGATGCGGCTGGTCCCCCACAGCGCAGGGATGTCCTGGAACTGCTTAAACATGCCCAGAAGGTTCACCATGATGATAGCAGCCAGCACAGTCTACGGGGGAACCCCAGGGCAGAGAACTCAGAGTTAAGGTTCAAAGTCAACAAGGAAAAGTAACCAGCTGTAAGACACATTAAAAATAACCATTGTTAGGCCGAGCACTAAACCATTTAACTACTGAACATAACAAATACAATGTTCCATACAGATACAGAGTAAACACACACATGGAGGGTTTCATTTTGCAGACTAATAATAGTCCTAAAAATGAAAGGGGGCAACTTCCCGTTAACACTGGAAGTGACCGTTAGACTGCGACTCACCTGAGGCAGTGGCTCAAACATGAAGCCGATGGCCACCACCACCAGGAGGACGACCAGCGAGGACAGCAGTCCGGCAATCTGTGTGACACAGGCACACAAAGCGACAGTTAGCCAACACTGCCCTCCTTCAGGATCTACTGCCAACAAACTCCTCACTCAATGTTAATCAGCTCATTCCACTTATCTCTTTATGCCTTTACAGCACCAATATACAGATCCGATGTCAGGAATACTCAAACAAAACGAGCGATATCAGAGCACATCACAGGGTGTTCCTCTCCGCCCTGTCCCCCGTTGGCGTGTTTACAGAGCAGAGCAGCCCGGTTACCTGCGTCCTGCCCCCCGTGCTCTCCTGTACCAAGCTGCGGGACATGGAGCAGGTGATGGTAAAGGTGCGGAAGAAGGAGCCGGTGAGGTTACACAGGCCCAGCGCTATGAGCTCCTGAAAGATGGGGAAAGGTCAGCTGTCAGCAACATCAGCCTGGCTGTGCTTCATACCATCCTGACGTCCAAAATACACCTCAGAACACTTTATTGCCAGCATGTACAAACCAGAACTGTTTGTGGAAGACAATATTACAAGGCACACAGGAGACACACATCACTGTACAATATAAAGAATACAATAGAATTTACACATTTACAGAAAACACAGTGCAAGATGTCTCAAGACAATAAATCAGCATAAGAGCACCATGTGGATAGAACAGCAGAGGGTCTTCCTGGTCCATAACCGCACACTCAGAATTAGGCTGGGATTATGGCAACAATACCTGGTTTCCATCTACGCTGTAGCCGTGTTTAAGAGCAAAGATCTTAGCCAGGGAAATAGCCATGGAGAATCCCACAACCGCGACGGCGACGGCGTCAGTCACCAGGTTGGGAAAAACAGAGAGATCTGGCAGCGCTGGAGGAAGGAGTCTGGGAAGCAATTTCATAGGTGTTGTTATATTACTACCTAGAAGTTTTAAAACTTTGTTGGATATACACACTAAATATTTTGCTTCATTGATATTATATTTGTGACTAAGAAACAGAGACTATATTCAGCACCAGTATTGTCCTCCAATTTCAAAACCAAAACAGTTTCATCTTTACCCCACAGGGATATTTCCAACAACATCCACGTTGTAGTTGGAGGAGAGCTGGACTCCGTAGGAGATCCCAGTGGAGACGATGACCTGCAACAGGAGAAGCTGTATTATCATTATTATTATTATTATTATTATTATTATTATTTGATGGCGTTGCGGCAGAAGTGCCGATGCAACGCTACAGTAGGCGGAGGGATGTGACATTACCACTATGATTTCCCCCGGAATGGGCACCGGAAGCTTCTTTTTGAAGCGGTCATTCAGGTCTTTGATGGAATACAGGAACACGATGCATGTCAGCCCCACGGTGATTGTGGTGAGGTTGGTGCTGGTGATGTTCTTCATCACCTCAATAAAGCTCTGTTTTGGAGAGGAGGGCAGTCAGATAGAGGAGCTCCCACCTTTCAGTGGGAGGGGGGTGCGGGCAGTGGCTATGGGAGAGGCGGGTACAGATGGAAATCATGGGGGAGGGGGGCACGGTCGGCGTTCATGGGGCAGTCACTCACGTAGATCACTGAGAGGGCCCCACTGAACCGCATTGTCTGGATTCCCAGAAGGTACTTCAGCTGCGACACAAAGACGTGGACGGCGGCGGCCGTGGTGAAGCCGCGCACCAGAGGCTCGGCGAGGTAGATGGCCACAAATCCGAAGCGTAGGAGGCCCAGGAACAGCTATGGGAGCCAGAAATGAACCAAAACCCATTTCAGCTATACTGCCACACAACAGCGAAACGCTGTAACTGCATGTTTATCAAAATTGAGTTTTAAACAAAATCGTTTTTCTTAGGCTCTGTTTTATCCCATAACAAAACATCTTAGTTCAACTGTGCTCAGTTTGAAGAAAACACTTTCATTTTTCCACCTACTAAACATGTGGGTAGATAGTCAAAAAACACCAAAGCCCTTTTTCTCAGTTTCAGTGTCAGTGTAGTTACTGTGTGTTGCCTTTGTAGGGCAGAAAAGCCATCATCGTTTGGAAACCGCTCCATCAACCAGTTTGTCGATAAAGGGTCTGATCAAGTTGGTGGCAAGGAATTGTGGGAGGTGTAGTTTAATGCAGAAGGGGTATTGAAAGCCCACCTGAATAATGCCCACGAGGCAGGTTAGCGCCACTGCTATCTGGACCCTGTGGGCGTCGCGGGCTTCCGTGTCGACCACAGTGGCGTTGGTGCCATTTGGAGCCTGAATATGGAACATGTCTTCGGGAGCCTCTCGCATGGCAACACTGCCGATCATCAAGCTGATCACCGCGAAAGTGCCTACAGCACCAGCAGCAGGACACATGCAGAAACAGGCACACTGCTGAGGACACGTGCCTTCACATTCAAATCCCACTGTCAAGATTCCACAGCAATACAACAATGATGATGGAACTACAACAGTGAGTGATTCAGGTGTGTATTTGGGTTCATGGTGACTCATGGAGTCCCATGGTATTAGTGAGTATGAACCGTCGGAGGCCTACCCATTGATATGTGCCTGGACGTGCCGAAGAAGGTGTAGAGCAGGACGGGGTAGAAGGAGGAGTACAGGCCGTAGACCGGAGGCACAGCAGCTAGCATTGCATAGGCCAGACCTGAGGGGTCAACCAAGGTCACTCTGAAAAATACCCTTAGCCGAACCTCACGCCGACTCGCTCCAGAGCATGCCAGGAATGAGGGCCATTTTTAAGTGTGGGGGCGCAGCTCAGAGAACATGAAACAGCAGAAAGTGCCCAGTACCCATCAGGGCAGGGCAACACCAGCACAGCGGGAGAAGCAAAAGTAATAATCACCTGTTCGAGGTGACCTAAAAGACACTGGGGCTGCCATCATTCCATCAAAGACTCCTGATTACACATAAAACGCCGCTTCCAGGATCTGCTCAGTGAATTTCAGGTCAAAATCTCAACAAGCTGCTGATCAACTGAGTGGAGATCCCTGGTTTTCCATTATGTCACGTTTGCCAGCGACAAGTGACAAGAGAGCACCGACATTCAGCCAAGAATCATTCACATGGCCTCTTTTGTAAGGAACTGAACTTCAAAAAGCAAACAGGTCAGTCGAGGTAAAATGCAAAGTGCTTTGTGGAACAAAGCTTTTTTGAAAACTTTGAAATTATTTGCATATAGACACAGTGCAAACAGCAAGAGAGGTGGATTGCCTAACATTGCTTCTCATTGGCTGAAAGAGACTGACCATAGCCTGACAGACTGACCTTGGGGCAGCTGCATGACGCCCGTGCTCAGGCCTGAGACAAGGTCCCCAAACAGGTACTCTCTGACAGGGTAGGAGGGCAGCCAGGACAGGATGGGCAGTAAGCTGTGCAGGGTCATTTTGGCCTTCTCTGAGGAACAGCTAGGAAACCAAGACAGGGGAATTAGCGGAGAGGCTTCCCTGGAGAGAATGCCCTTCAAACTGCGGAACCTGGACACACCATAAAGTCGTTGGCGATGCAACTCGATTACCAGGGTGACGTGTGACCTTAATAAGCAAATGACAGCAAGCAGCATAAATCAGATGACAATACTGCACAGCTTGTTCACTATAAAATGCATGGAGAACACAAGCAGAGATCATTTGCTGGACGTGCAGCAGAGCTGGCAGCATGTTGACCTTCATACGGAATGTCCAGAGAGTGAGGACCCACCGGAGCCTCCCAGCAAGCTTCTCCTTGAAGGGCTCCTGCCTCCTCGTCTTCCTGTGTAACAGCTCCCTCTCCAAGTGCCCCTCGCTGTACACGGGGCGTTCCACTCTGTACACCAGGGCGGCGCCAGTATCCTTAGCAGCTGAAAGCTCCATGGCCGTGACCGTAAGATCAGGGACGGGCATAATCACAATCTGTCTGGATCTGTGCCACTCCTGTTCTGTGTATATGGAAACAGGGGTTATAAACCACTCACATCTGAGTTAACGTCTATGCAAATGAATGAATGAACATTACATTATATGAAGCAATGGGGAGCCAATTCACCCACCATTGCTCTGCAGCACCCTGAATGATGCAGCAGCCGCTCTGCACCACTACACTCACCACACAGAAGCTACGGTGGTGAAAGGCCAGGAGATAATTTGTTTATTAAATATAGAGGATGATTAGGAGGTGAGATTTGATAGGGCCACAGTGGGCAAGACAGTACATGCTTGTTCCACCCCTACTCTTTCAAAAGATGTCCAAGGATCTTTTATGACCTCAGTTTTACATCTCATCCAAAAGATGGCACCATTTTTACAGTATAGTGTCCACATCACTGTACTGGGGCATTGGGATCCACACAGACCATAGAATGGGCTCCTCTGTCGGCCACACCAGTACCTCTTCCAGCAGCAGCCCAGCTTTCCTAGTTGGTGCCCCATCCAAGCACCAGCCAGGCCCAAACCTGCTTAACTTCAGGTGAATTACCTGGCATGAACAGCAGGTAGTTAATCTGCTGTTCAATAAAACAATTCACTACTAATCAATTCCTCAGGTGAATATTTACATATACTGTCATCAAGGCCAGCTCTACACGGCCGCCTGACTGATGGCTCAGGCTACTGACAGAATGCAAACAGAGGGCTGTACAGGAGGTGGTTGTCATCCCCTGGTGCTGGAAATCCACTACTCACAGACATGAGGTGTACCTAGAGATTCCGGATCCCTTTATAAAATGCCATATTGGGCCCTCCTGTTCAGTTTTACGCATACTTTTACGGATTCAATGGCCCCTATAAAGTGCTGGGCCCCTGAATCTGTCAGGGTAACCATGGCCCTCTGTGTCCATGCTCACATACACTAAACCAACGAATTTCATTAATCAAACTTGACAAATGATGTCGGTTAACATAGGGGTTGGTTTACGTGGTACAAATATTTCAGGAACTAGTAATCTTAATAAGATTAACTTGTTTTTTTCCAGATACGAACAGAACCAGAAAACGTAAGGGGTCATAAAAAAATAAAAAATATATTTTATTTTTGTAAATTAACCAACACTTCTGCAAACACCCGGTGCAGACCAGGGTAGGGAACATTTATATCGGAAATGAGCCATTTGGGCTTATTTCCCACTTTGAAGTACAGTTTCCACTTTAATTATTAGAAATGACGGATGCCACCTTACGGAATAAATAGTGTGGTCCAAAAATACTGAACAAACCACAACCAGTAGGCCTATTAGCTAAAATTGGAACACGGTATTTTATTTTCATCATGAGATGATCACGTAAAATATAAGCCGGTTGGCAACCTCCGAAAGGTCTGAAAGAGCTGGCCCACAATATGTTTTCAGTTCATTATGAAGTATGACCAGCAGATTGATCATCCGCTTCCAAGTGAATAAAAACATGTACGGTAATTGCCTTAAGTTTCACCTGGGCATTACCTCCCCTCTTTCGGCACGCGGCTCAGAGGTTAGCTGGTTATCGGTATCGTCGATATTAGACAAAAATATAACGGTTATTGGTATCAAACCGACTTCCCATATTGGTGTTTCACTGGTCTATAAATACTCAAATACATCTGATACAGATAAATATCTTGACATCCTTAGGAAAGTCTCGACAACTTTATGAGATTAACTCAGACATCTGTACAAAAGGACTTAGATCGCTTTATGTTATTGCAAAGACCAACAAGACGACATAATCGTTTGGATGTTACCGGAAAATCGGTTATTAAACCGTGCTGGTGGTATCCGTCAAGCTTGTGGATGCTGGCCGCCGTCTGCTCACCTACGGACCTGCGCCTAGCGATCCGAACCGCGCACCGCGCTCCGCAGCCCGCCTCGGCACAGGCTTCACAGGGCGGCCAGGCTGGGCAGAGCCTCCCGGAAAATCTTGTGAGGAAGAAAAACAATTTTGAGTAATCGACAGTAGTCACGCCGTCTTCTTCCTATGCCTTCCTCGCACGTCTGCTTAACTGGTTAATTCCTGAGAAGTGGGTCTTTATACCCGCAAAGTAACTGTTATTTAGCAGCCCCTTGGCAACGGAGGACCCCCGCGGTAACACATACTGAAAATAATGGGTAATGCCTTCAGGAAAGTGTCTGATTAACGGGACAATAAGTGAATTTATGAGCTCGGCATTTAGATTGGGGATCAGGCGAAAAATTGCCAAGTGCTAGGGTACCGACCTTTAAGACTGGCCTGATTTGACTAAGTACTGTGAAAACCGCGTGGCAAACCTCCCGTTTATCTTTTCCTCGGGCACATGCAGCGCAAGGGAAGGATCTGCCAGGACAGCAAAACACCGTCACAAGCACGGCGCATATTTCCTGTCAAACGCTTGACATGAAAACTATTAACACCCAGGTTGTCAGATGTTGCACAAACTAAGGATATGAGGAAGCATATGACTTCATATAGTAGCGATGCACTGAAAAACTAAAGCAAAACGAGTAGAACTGGCTGTGATAAAAGTTTTACGTTTCCATGCAAAACAAAACTGGTACAAGGAAGAGACACCATACAGCTAAATTGTCTTTCCGTACTTGAATATTCAGAAAACCGTTATAAAATATCACAAGAAGAGCAGAAAAGTTTACTGGTAAAATAGTTCAACCACCTAAAGAATGTAGCCTACTACAACCTTGTTACCATAATATATACATTTTAAAATCATCTTTCAGAAAACCGAGGAGTATCCGTTCCAGCACTTCATCGTTCAAACGATGCTATTAACCATGAAAATCCGTAGACATTTTCTTCAATACTGAAGCTGTAACGATACATGAACAACCGCGCCAGCGATACTGTCATCCAAAAAGCGATTGTCAGACGACTATATGTTTATTATCTGATTCGCTTTACCTACAGCGAGTTAACAGTCTAAGTATTCGCTGTGACCTCGTAATAAGATGGGCTAAACGTGTTCATTTCTTACCCTTTCAGACTGATAGCTGGATGTGAAAGGAATTAAATGTCACCGCCAGCCACCCCAAGCCGAGGCTCCAGTTAATGTTTAACACCGTAATGTCCTTAAAGCATCGGCCACATAGTACTCCCACACCGGCTATGGCTCGCCACCGAGCACACATCACGTTATCATGGGATTTGTATTTCCTCAGTTCCTCTGACCTCGGTAAGAACTACAACTTCCAGACAGTGATACGCAACATTGTATTACATGCTTGAACACGTGATGTTTTTTCGCCCTCGCTATGCTTAGCATGAATAAACTGCGCGTTTTATAGTGTAATTACGCCATTTGGTTCCTAGTTTCGCGTCAATCGTGATGTCCCCCGGAGGAACCCTGTTTGGGTTATAGGGTATGGCAATATGTCATTAGTGATTGCAGTCATTTGTAAATGTTGTCAGATGATGCACTGGTGAAATTAATTTCCATCCATCTGTCTTATTCAGGTCGTGAATGGGCTGGCGACTGTCCAAAGCGGTGTTACACCCTGGAGAGGATGCCATAACTATACCAGTTTTGAACAGTTAATGTTTCGCAGAAGGAGGGTAGGCTATATGTTGTGTGTCGTTTCCGCTGAGTTTTAGATTAATCGTTCTTAGCTGGATTTGCGCAATTTAATCAACCCAAAAAGCTGAGGACTTTTATTCAGTCATACAAAATTTGTGTTAGTTTGAGGATACTTGTAAGTGTGTATTTGTCTAATAAACATTTTCTCGTAATTTAATTGTCAAAGTAGTCTAACGAAACTTACAAGTATATCTGAGCCGTATTCTTTAATAGTACGTTTGTTTTAACAAGAATTTCAATTTCACGGGGAATTCAAACCAAACATGGGTATGATTCTCCAGAGGAAAACGCTGACACCGAATTCAAAGGTTCCATAAGCTGACACTAGAGGGAAACCCTGTGCAGTTTAAACAACGAGAAAAACGGCGACTACTACACCTTTAAGATTTAAAAAGCATTTTGGCACCTTGCAGTGGCATGCAATTGATTGATGGGATTCCTATGTGCGCTTTCATAATGATGCTATTAAGTTACTTGACTCATAAGATTAATCACTGTGGTGATTAAAATGTAATTATACTTCTGGTAAATTTGTATGTCCAGGCATTGGAAAGTGGGCTATAGGTAAGCGCTGTGGTTAGCGATCCAGAACTGGAAGGCTGAGCTAAGTGCTGTTCATTTTGGAGGTTAAATAGGTAAGATGTGAACATCTAAAACATGTAAGTCACTCTACATAAAAGATTAGATATTAAGACGAATCCCCAACCAGCTGGTCTTACCATGCTGCCACATGACCCATGGGGTAATGGTGTGCGGGGCACTGAGTAATTGAGCAGGCTGAGTTTCTCTGCCTGTGATCAGAAGGTTGCAGGTTTGAGCCCCAGCCTTGGCAGGATAGTCTCATACCCATGGGCCCTTGAGCAAGGTCCTTCGCCCCCCGCTCCAGGGGCACCACATGTTGGCTGACCCTGTGCTGTGACCCCCAAGCTGTGGAGAGCAAGATGGGTCAGAAAGAGAAGAATCCAATGTACCTGTACTATGCCATCATTATTACAGCAGTGCCCCATTTCCATTGCGGCATTGCCAAACTTGCCGTCGTCATTATTACAGCAGTGCCCCATTTCCATTGCGGCATTGCCAAAACTTGCCATCGTCATTATTACAGCAGTGCCCCATTTCCATTTCGACATTGCCAAAATCTTGCCGTCGTCATTATTACAGCAGTGCCCCATTTCCATTGCGGCATTGCCAAAACTTGCCATCATTATTACTACAGCATTGCCCCATTTCCATTACGGCATTTGCCAAAACTTGCAGCCTTTCAGTTCTTGTTGAGGGAAACTGTGAAGCAAGCAGAATCAGGAAAATAGGTGTAGCACCCAGAGGCTGGGACTGGGATAACAATGTTACCAGACTTATCTCCACAGTGGATAAAAATAATTAGATTACTACCGCACAACAAGGGCATAGGCCTAGATTTGGGTATGGACAGTAGGAACAGGTTCCTGCCAGTACTGCTGGAGTACCGATATATAAATATATAAATGTTAAATATAAATGTTAAATGTTAACTTATATCTAAATGTTAAATGTAAAAGTTAAATGTAAATATAAATCTAAATGTTAAATGTAAAAGTTAAATGTAAATATAAATCTAAATGTTAAATGTAAAAGTTCAATGCAAATATAAATCTAAATGTTAAATGTAAATGTTAAATATAAATATAAATGTTAAATATAAATGTTAACATATCTAAATGTTAAATGTAAATGTAAATGCTAAATGTAAATGTTAAATATAAATGTTAAATGTAGACTCTAAGGGCCAGTTTCCCAAACAAGGATTAAGCCTAGTCTTGGACTAAATTGCAGTATCAATGGAGATTCACCATTGAAACTCAAAGCTAGTCTAGGCTTAGGCTTAATCCTTGACTGGGAAACTGGCCATAAATGTTGAGAACATATGCAAATTCGCCACGCCCATCTGCATAGAAATGGGCGGTAACGACGAAACTAGCCCGCTAAGTGGTTGCAGGTTAGGGGCGATTGAGGACAATATGGCGAATTCGGCTCACTTAGATGCTATAGAACGCTGCATTACATGGCGTTGCTTCACAGCCGGGAGCAACATCATCTGCACTTTCCACTGTAACATCGATAAATTATGAATGTTTAATGGGCCGAGAAGGGGATCAGTAGTATCGTATAAATTGTCCTTAAATATTTTCATAATCTCAATGAATTACGGTCCTCGCGATTGGACCTGCCGTTTTGCAAGCGAACCACTTAGCGAGCTAATTCGTCGTTACCCTCATTTCTATGCAGACGGGCGTGGCTAATTTGCATATGTTCTCAACATTTGGAGTCTACATTTAACATTTATATTTAACATTTAACATTTACATTTAACATTTAGATTTACATTTACATTTACATTTAACATTTAGATATGTTAACATTTATATTTATATTTAACATTTAACATTTACATTTAACATTTAGATTTACATTTACATTTAACATTTAGATATGTTAACATTTATATTTAACAT